TTTTTTTTTTTTTTTTTTTTTTTTTTTTTGTTTTTGCTTGTTGTACTGATCACAGAATTAAGTGGTCAATAGAAGTGTATTTTTAATTTTTTGTTTCAAAATAATGTATAAGCTTAGCAGAAAGAAATATAGTTTATCGTTTATCAATTAATTTGTTCAATATGAAATTGAAGGTAAAAACTGAAACTTTTTTTTTCAAGCATGTTCTTCTTAGTTTTTTTATTTTACAGGGTTGTGTGGATTATCTGAAGGATTATTTTGATGTTCGATTTTGGTCAATATATGCATTCTTAATACTGTTAATATCGATACAGGTATCAATTTTATGTTCTTTAGCTCTTCTTTTTTCATATTTTTGAGCTGTGTGAATAAATCAAACAGAAAAAGGACTGTGTGTGATATATATTGGTGGTGAAAGCAAAACTTTTTTCAGTTTAACTTTTTGTTCATCGTTTGACTGACTAACAAAAACTTGGGGTTTTAAAAATTGTTTCTCTGCAAAAGATATTCCGTAAACAAATAAATCAAAATTGAAACAAAAAAATTTTTTTTACTCTATCTGAGTATCAACGCTTGAATCAGTTTATAAGAGAGTTTACTGAAAAACAAAGAAAAAAAAAAGCAGAAATAAATGGATAGCAGAAATAAAATGTTATAACTTTCTGAATTTTTTTTTTTGGAACAAAGAAGGGAAAGGGGAAGATTGCAATCATTCGGCACAAAAAACTGCTTCTTTAGTAAGGTGAAAATTCAACTGACTCAGATTTAACTGTTTGTATAGTATCAAATTTTTGTTTACTTTTTTTCTTCAAGAAAAAAAAAGAAAAACATATTTTTTTTGTCTAAAAAAAAATTACTAAAAATGTTCTCTTATTTTTCTTTTTCTTAGCCTATAATATAATTTTTGGTCTTTTTAAATAGTTTCATTTGCAATAAGAAATCTCTTTCTCAATTTTTTCTCTTCTTTTTTAAGAAGAAAATTATTTAAAATACTGAGAAGAAAAACTGATTGTGATAAAATATTTGTGGCAGAAAAAAGGAGACAATGTGAAAACAAAAGTAGTTATTGTTTTTCTAAATTGCTAATGATACGTAAACCAACGGGGGTATATGGGTGTAATATTCGGATAATTATGGTCAACTAGCCAGCCAGCCAGCCAGCGGACCAGGAAACAATAATGGCACATGCACAATGCATGACAAACAAGCAGCTAGCATTTGTCTCATTTAACTGAGTGGTATTGGTAGACTAAACTAAGTGATTTTAGTTGTTTGTAAGCTTTGTATAAAAAATCGGTATTGCATATTTGATTATATCCTTTTTTAAAGCTTTCTTTATTGAAACCTCTTTCTTTCTTCTTTTTCAGTTAATTCAAGCATTATTGGAAATATTTCTATTTGTGGAACTGAAAAGGTACACAAATTTAGTTCGGTATTCAACACATCAGAGTGGTTTATTAACCAACAAACTATACCATGCATAAAAAAAAACGGTTTTTTTAGTTTATTTGT